CCCCCCAGCGACCCCCGCTGCCTTTTGGGAATTCTGCCTCCCCCAACCACCCCATTGCATTGTGGGATATTTGCACCCCTGATGGTTGACTTGTCTCTCCTCCCCCCTGCCCCGCAGGTGGAGCATGCAGCCAATCGCACCCAGTTTGGGGACAAAATCCACAACTTTGGAGCCATCCAGGAGAAGCTGGCGCGTATGGCCATGCTGCAGTATGTCACTGAGGTGAGACCGCCCCGCCCCAGAGGTGGCCGCATCTCAGCACTGGGCGAGGGGTCCCCGTGTAACCAGCCGCCCTGCCCCAGAGGTGGCCGCATCTCAGCACTGGGCGAGGGGTCCCCGGGTAACCAGCCGCCCCGCCCCAGAGGTGGCCGCATCTCACCTGTGCTGTTTCTCCGTGCAGTCCATGGCGTATATGATCAGCGCGAACATGGACCAAGGAGCGGCCGATTTCCACACAGAGGCAGCCATGAGCAAAATCTTCGGCTCGGTGAGGCTCCGTGGGGCGGGGAATGGGGCTGGGGCAGGGGGCGTAGCTGGGGGGGGTAGGGGGTACCCCAGCCTCCCCCAGCAGGGGGCGCCGCGGAGTGGGTACGTGAACGTGGTGCTGTGGGTTGCTTTCTGTAGGAAGCCGCCTGGACGGTGACGGACGAGTGTATCCAGATTATGGGCGGCATGGGGTTCATGAAGGTGAGTGGAGATCCCCCCCCCCCAGCCAGCCTCCCCCCAGTGCCAGGATCCCCCCACCCCCAGCCGACCTCCTCCGGCGCTGGGACCCCCCTCTAACCGACCAACCCCTGTCTGACATCCCCCCCGGGGCCGGGACCCCCCCCAACCTCTCCCCGCCCCTCCCCCCGGGGCTGGGACCCCCTCAACCGCCGGCCAACCTCCCCCCACCCCCTCCCCGGAGCTGGGATACCCCCCCCAGCCCCTGCCTGACCTCCCCCTGGGTGCCGGGACCCCCCCCAGGACGCTGGCGTGGAGCGGGTGATGCGGGATCTCCGGATCTTCCGGATCTTCGAGGGAACCAACGACATCCTGCGGCTCTTCGTGGCCCTGAACGGCTTCCAGGTGTGTGTGGGGGGGGGTTACTTGAGGATCTCAAAGGGGGGGGTGCTGTGGGGGGGAGATTTTTGGGGTGGGGGTATGGGTACTGGAGCTCAAAGGGGGGGGCGTGTGGTGGGGAGGGGATTTTGGGCTGGGGGAGAGTATGGGAGGCTGTGGCGGGGAGGGGATTTTTGGGGGAGGAGTATGGGGGGGCTGTGACGGAGAGGAGGTTTTGGGGCTATGGGGGGCTGTGGCGGGGAGGGGATTTTTGGGGGTGGGGGAGGGCTATGGGGGGGGCTGTGGTGGAGAGGGGATTTTTGGGGGTGGGGGAAGGGTATGGGGTGGAGCTCAAATCGGGAGGGGGGCTGTGCTGTTGCGGGGGGAGGACAGAAGATGATCTGGGGGGGCATGTTGCGGGTGTATGGGGGGGACGGAGAGGAGACCTCGGGGCGGGGGTTGCTGTGGTGCAGGAGACCCTGGAATAGGGAGGGGCTTGTCGTACCCCCCCCCCCCAGGTCACTGACTCTTCCCCCCCCACCCCCCCCCGCAGAACGCCGGGAACCAGCTGCGGGGGCTGCAGCGAGCTCTGAAAAGCCCCGTGGGTAACGTGGGGCTGCTGGCCCGGGAGGCTGCCCGGCGTCTTCGCAGGTACCTGGGGGGGGCTCCCTCGGGGGGTCACTCTTGATGGGCTGTGGGGGAGGAGTCATGGGGGGGTTCACTCCCAGGGAGGGTCCCTGGGATGGGAGGTTTTGGTCCTTGGAGGGGTGCAGGGGGGGGTACCGCTTCTCTTGTGTGTGGGGGGGGGTCCCTCACATGCCGTCTGTCTCCTCTCCCCCCCCCCCCCCAGGAAAAGCCGGATGGGGCTCTGGGATCACCCTGAGGGATGTGGTGCACCC